CAGCTTCGCACGCAGCCCAGTGCTCAACCGCTGCGCCACCGGGGGAGGCCCATCAACAACAATTTTAAAGGGATGTAATGAGGATTAAGTTGGTCAATATTCAGAAGATGTGTAGCAGAGTAGTCTGGTTGTTATTTAATTTTTCCCCTTGTGTCATAAGGCTCAGTTTATATGTCACGAGTGGATTAAACTAGATGTTATCTAAATCCTTCCCCAGTTTAAATATCTATGAAATAAGTGATGGAAGTAGAAAACAAGGATTTTAAATATTATTGTAAATATGTTAAAGTATATAAGAAGATTAGGAATATGACCCAAATAAGTACCAAATAAAACATATCAAGTTGAAAATTATAATCAAAATGAAAAATTCATTGGATAAGCTCATGAAGAGAATAAACACTGTAGAAAAAAAAAAAAAGATTAGTAGACTTGAAAATACAGTGATAGAAAATATCCAAAATGAAACAAAGAGGAACTGCCAAAAACAACAGACACTCAGTGTCCTGTGGGATGATAGGAAGCTGTCTAACATAACTGCAATTGGACAATGCAAAATAGAGTATGGAACACAAAACATATTTGAATTTGTAATGGTAAATTATCCCCCACCCCAATTTGATAAGAACCTACAAAATAATACCAAGGCACATTATAAACAAACAAAACTAAAAATCAACGATAAAGAGAAAATCTTAAAATCCATCAATAAAAAGAGATACATTACAGAAAGAAACAAAAAGATCTCTCAGAGACTATGCAAGCCAAAGAATGGAATGGGATACTTAAAGTTATTGAGGGCTGGGATGGTAGAGTGGGAGGGGAGAAATTATTCGCTTATAATTTTATATTCAGCAAAGATATCCTTCAAAGTAGGCCTCCCCGGTGGCGCAGCGGTTGAGCGCTGGGTTGCGAAGCTGCCCGCAGCCTCTGTAGCACCGGTTCAATTCCCGGCTGCTCCCCGGCCACCGGAGGAGGGTCCCACATGGCGCGCAGACCTCTCCTGCCGCCCGCTGCTCCCCTCAGCAGTGTACTTCGGTCCTTCTGCCTGCTCTGCTCCCTGCTCTGGCTCTGGTGAATTCTCTCACCCCCCCCCCCCCCCGCGCTTCTGACTGTACCCAGTGCATGTATAAACAAAAACAAACAAACAAACAAATAAATAAAAACATGCCTCTATAAAAAAAAAAAAAGTAAAGGCAAAATGTTTTTCACAGCAAAAATGGAGAATTCATTGTCAAAATTTATTTTGCGCTATGAGAAATGTTCAAGGAAGTCATACAGAGTGAAAATGACATTAGAAGCGATTCCATAATTATTTAAAGATAAACTGTGATAAATTAGTGATGTTTAATGTAAATGTGAGAGTAATCACCAAACAAAAATAAACCAGATTAGCTAATCAATCAATTTAGAACTAGAAAATAGACTAAATCCACAAGATGACCCAAAAAAGGAAAACTGAAACAAAAGACAATGGTATTATAGGGCAGCCCCGATACAAAATGGAGTGCCTGACTGTGGGTCCTCACCCACGTGCTTAAAAGGACTTATCAATACTCTACTGCAGGCACAAATGGAAGGTTAATAAAAGGTTTATTTACAAGGGAAGGGCAAGTGAGGAAATGTACAACTCAGGGAGAAAAGTGGGAGACAAAGTTTTAAATGCGTCCTACCCGATCCGTCGATCTGGAATCCCAAATGGCACTTTGAGAGCTGGCCGCGAGCCAGGAGCTGTGAAGCCAGGAGGCAAGCGAGAGAGCGAGCCACCCAAGGCCCATGTGTTTGGTTTTTTTATACCAACCCTGGCTGCTTAACTCCAACCTCAGGTCCCAGCCACCTTCCCTTTGGTGGTGATGGGATTTGTCTTTCCCAATGTCCTGATGGCTTTGGTCTGAAGTGGGGGTGGGGTCCACAAAGCCTGTATGGGATTAGCTCAGAACATCCTTTCCCCCTAACAATGGGACAAGTAGAAAGCTTGTAGACCCAACCCAAGCATCTCAATACCTACATTTTACATAAATGGTCTAAATGCAATGATTAAAAGAGATTAGAATAGATAATAAAGCAAGACTCATCACCATGCTATCTATATGAAGTACACTTTAAAATATGAAGAGTCAGGCAAGTTTAAGTAAAGTATTAGAAAAAACTCACTATGCAAAAACTAACCCTATGAAAGCAAGGTGTTATATTAACAGTCGATTGCAAAACAAGGGTGATTACCAGATTCAGTAAAAGACTTTCATAATGATAAGGGATAAATCATCAAGCAGACAAAACAATTCTATTTAGCAACAGATCTTCAAAATATATGAAGTAAAATCTCATAAAACTGAAAGGAGAAATAGACAAACCCACAAGTAGAGTTTTATCAGTCATTGATAAAACAAGGAGATGAAAACTTGAGTAATATTAACAATCAATTTGACTGAATGACAGTGCTACAGCCAATAGTAGAAGGAGATACACTTTTGAGTACACATGGAATATTCACTGAGATAAATCACCATATTTGTCCTAACACAAATCCCAGTAAATTAAAAGGACTGAAAAAAATCTTAACTTTTTAATTAAATCTTAACTTTTTAAAGCAACACATGCTAAACTAAATTATTTGTATAAAATAGGCAGTAGAAGAAACCCATTGATATTTGAGGCTGAAGATTTTACCTTTCTTTCATCACCATTATTTTAAAATTACTTTTCTTAAAACAACCCCATTTTTCTATTAAAACTTTATCACATTCTGTTTTATAAACCAATATTACCTCAATAAAAAATAACGCAATTGAAATTTTTAAAACCAAACTTTGTAATAAGCAAATGGTAAACATAGAATTAGAAAAATAATTTTACACCATTAAAAATGTAAGGCATATTATCTGTTTTCAGTGTTAGAGTGTGTAAAATATTTTATGTGGGGGGAATAAAAGAGTGCCAATTAAATTTTCTTAAATTTAACATTAAGGCCTCCCTGGTGGTACAAGGGGTTAAGGACCACACTATGAAGCAACCCACAGCCTCTGCAGCATGATTTCAATCCCCAGCCAGCCAGGAAGAAACCCACATGGTGAGGCAGAATCCTCCAGACTCACCTGCTGCTCCATTCAGTAGTGTATTTCAGTCAATCTGCCTGTTCTGTTCCCCACTCTGTCTCTGGTGGATCCTCTCACCCCCTGCATCTCTGGCCTGTACCCCAGCTCTTGTATGCATAAATAAATAAATCTTTAAAAAAAATTAACATTGGGCCTCCCCGGTGGCGCAGCAGGTGGAGCACTGTGCTTGAAACTGTCCGCAGCCTCTGCAGCGCGGGTTCGATCCCCGCCGGCTGGTAAGAATCCCACATGGTGTGGCAGACCTCTCCTGTAGCGCCCGCTGCTCCCCTCAGCAGTGTATTTCTGTCATCTGCCTGTTCTGCTCCCTGTTCTGGTGAATCCTCCCACCCTCCCGCACCTCTGACCTGTACCCCAGCTCTTGTATAAAAATAAATAAATCTTTAAAAAAAAATTAACATTACTGGCAAACTTAGGGGTGCCATGGCAATTGCACATTATAAATTTATTCTAACTTTTATCAACCCTCAGAGAATAGATATACCAAGAATGACAATAACAATCACACAACATCATTTGCAACAGCTTTCGTTGAATGCTTACTAAGTACCAGGCATTGTTCTGAGTACATTTTGTGAATTAATTCTTCCTCTTACTTGCCTCCCATTTTACTGCTCAGAAAACTTAAATAGCTTGTCTGAGGCGACACACACAGTAACTGCCAGTGCCAGAATTTGAACCCAGTAAAGTTTTTTCACCATTTTCCATTTTCAAAGCCAGGGTCAGACATACTGGCATTAGACACAAAGACCTCGGGGCTTCCTTCTTCAGCACTTTGTAAAGTATTTAATTGGTTCTCTTTTGCCTTGACTTCAAATTTGCCTCTTCACTGGTCTGTCTTATTTGATAAGTTCATCAAACATCAAGACTCTTTGTTCATTTTCAAAAAGGATTACAATGATAAGCTTTTATAATTAAGAGTATCTCAGTAGAGATTTCCTTTAGCACAGTTCTCTTGCCTTTATCTTCTAATTATTAAAGATGAATTTTCTGATTTTTCGAGATGTATTTGCTTTAAATACAAATTGCAAATTAATTGCTTATAAAAATGCCTTTCCCCCTTCTGAACTGTTACTTGAAAGAAATCTCTTTTGCTCCAGCATTTGAAAGTAATGATTCAGAATTGAATTATTATTTGAATAAGAATTTAAATAATCTACTGAAAATCTTTATTGTTTGGGAAACAGGGGCTGCTTTGACACTATTCCAGAGGCTAAATAAAGGGTTAAATACCACAAAATACTTGATGTTACAATACAAAAAAAACAGGAAATCCAGTTGGACAATTCAAGGAAATAGAATGGGTAAAGTTGCAATGCACATATGAAAATATCACTTCCACTCATTTCCCCATAGCAAAAGGTAAACTCATTTCTAGAGTGAAATAACCTAGTGTCTCTACAGTCTCTTGCCTTGTCTAAGATGGTTTTATACACATCAGCTGATTTTATCTTCCCCCAAACACTGACATGGGTATTCTTATGATTCACAAACAGATAAGTAGAGGTTACTGTCCATACACAAGAAAATTATCATATATTAAGTTGAGTATATTTCACATACAGGATCTTATTTCATGTTCATCAGCTCTTATAGAAAAGACATTATTCTCATTTCACAGATAGGGAAATTGAAGTTCACAGAGACTAAGTGATTTATTTCATATTACTCAGTTCCTGAGCATTAGAGCTGTGACTTTCACACAAACCCAACTGACTACAAGTGCATGCTCTTTCCAGTGTCAGGTACTCCTTCCCTGAGTTAGTAATAATATGAAAAGAGATCACATTCCATCCTAAAATAGACAGTTGCAAATATGAAACTGTCTCACCTCCCCACCAGCTGGGTCTTACATGCAAATTCTGCTCAGACTTGTAAATGACTCACCGGTTCACCTTCTCCTGTATGGTTACCCCAGGCTGACAAATCATCAAAGACAGGCTGAAAAAAGCAACAGTGAACATCTTATTCAGAAGCCACCACCCAGAAGGAATAAAACTCTTCAGGGAGTTAAAGATGTCTACCAACTGGGACCCACAAGATTTAGCCAATGTTTGAAACTAACATAACTTAGTTGATTCTCATTCCATGTGGTTAATTAATTACTAGAGTATTGATTAGCTAAACATCCTAAAATCCCAGACACCAAAGGCCACTGTCCTTCAGGCCTTTTGTAAAACAATATCCATATGGTTGAGGATACCTCCTATTTAACCAATACCAGCTTAGGAAAGGGATCAGATTTTCAGATGGAGGCAAAATTTATGCTAAGATGAACTTCCAGAATTCCAAGTCTTTTTGCGTGGCACTTAGAAGGTCTGTGGTCAGATCAGCCTCTATTGCAGGACTAAAACTAGGTGAATACTGGTGTATCATCTCAGCTATTAACAACCAGAAACCTATAAGAAGTGCTAACAGTTACGAGGAGGTTCTACAATGTATTAACAAACACCTGCAGCCTGAGAAATGTAGGTAATTGAATGGGCTTTCCATTTTCATCCTGGATATCATTAAGATCCAGCATATTGATGTCAAGGAGCCCAGATATCTAAAAATGACATTTCCAGAAACCTTCTCTAGAATCATAATACCAGCCATATATCTGGACTCTAGATGATACTATCTCTGCCTCTTCCAGACGTATAAATGGATGGATGGATTTTTAAAAGACAATAATGGAACACCTCCAATGTGGCAGCCATGTCATATGTCTTATTTTACTTAATGTTCACAAGTCTATGAGATGGAAATGATTAATTTCATTTTGCAGTTGAAGAAATGGAGGTCCAGAGAAGTTAATTAACTTGCCCAAGAATGTACAGCTGTCTTGATATCTTTGGGAATCTTTAGATCTCTCATTATCAGGATTGACAAGTAGTATCATTATTAATCTCAAATAAAGCTATGAAAAAAAAATTAATGACTTGCATGCCGAAGAAATGTGTATCTTATTTCAACATAGAAATTTTAATAAGGTCCCCAGTTGTCATTGCCTCTGGTTGCTCAGAGATTTACATAAAATTTGACAGAAGTGAACAGCAATTCTGTGTCCTGGGAAGTCCCTCTAGCCATTGATTTCTGTGCCTCGCCTTTAACTCTGTTGTGACGCCTGGATCCTCTTGTTCTCAGTTCTACCCTCGTTCAGACCCATTCAGAAAACTCTTCTTTTTCTCCTTTTTCCATGAGTGATGCAGTCATGACTTATTTCACTGTGCTTTCACTAAAGATGCAGGTGTTATATGGGGACGCCTTGGGGCAGCTAAGGGTGCACTTCTGGAACACATTTCTTTCCATCAAGACTAGCCATCTCCCACTCTCCCTGTTTCATCCATCCAGAGTCCAACTTCCTGACACAAGTCCTCAGAGCCTCTGGGGACTCTGTGTGGAAAACATAGTCACATTTCCTCCACCACTTACACAGCTTTTCCCATGAGTAGACCTCACCCTTTAACCATGGCCTCACCGGGAAATGATTCTGCCCTTCAGGGGATACTTGGAAGTATCCAGAGACATGGTTGTTACAACTTTGGAGGTTGTGCTACTGGAATCTGGTTTGTGCCAAACCTCCCACAATGCACAGGACAGTTCCCAAGAAGAATTATGTGACCACAAATGTTAATAGTGCTTAGGCTGGGGAATGCAGTCCTACGAAAAGGCTGTTGTGTCTTCTTCTGGTCCCTGGCATTCCACTGAATTATTTTTCTTCTTTTTTTTTAAATTTATTTTTATTTATTTTTCTTCTTTTAACATGTAGGCAATGTTGTCTTCCTTCCTAGGCAATGTTGTCTTCCTTCCTAGACTAGCTTCTCAAAATTTTCCTGATGCCTTTCATCCTTTCCCAAGACTTCAATGGATTCCAGACTCCTCCTTCACCCTTTACCACCCAACATGGTCAGTCAAATTCTACCATTTTCTCTCAATGTTTTCCCAACATGCTTCTCCCCATCATTCTCATTGTCTTTGACCCATATCAGGACGTTTGCTGTCTCTGAAACGATCATTACAGCCTCCTAGTGAGTTTCTCCTTGCTCAAACCTCCCTGTACATTACTGCTGCATTCATCTCTAATCAAACTGCCTTAGACAACATCACTCTCCTGCTCAGAAACCTTCAGTGGCTCCCCCACTGTCTATTAAACTAGGAAATTTCCCCATGAATGGTTCCTTATCAGTCAGTCTTCTCCAGTGACTGGTCCCTCATGGGTCTGTGTCTGTAGGTATCTGCTTGTTTTCTGAACCTCATAAACTTGTTACCAACGCTTGTCCTTATAACCTCCTATTAAGTTTTTCCAAGGAAGTGGGGTACTTATCAAGAAGGTAAATCTCTCTAGGGTAAGTTCTGTGTCTGATTTTTCTTTATAATCAAATCACTTAATACTGAATCTTTAATAAGAAATGCTCATTGGAGAAATTAGCAAATAATTATTAAAATTAGTCTATGATTGAATAATACTTTCAGGAATATTTTCTCATTTAATCCTCAAAATAATCTTGTGAGATAAATATCACTATCCTGAAGAGAATCCTGAGGGATGCAGGATTATGTAGGTATTAAGGTAGAAAGCAGAAGCAAGATCTACAGAGCACCAGGCTCTGTCTTCTGCATTCCATGCCATTTAATGTAATCCTCACAGCAATCTTGAAGGCCAATAATACTAAGGCTGTTCTGAAGATGAGGACATTCTGTTTCAGAGCAGTTAAGTAATTTGCCTCCAATTGCACAGCTGGTGAGTCTCAGAGTTATGTGTTTATGATGTCCCCAACTTCAAAATTTGAGATTTTTTTTTTGGGGGGTGGGTATTGGTTGCACCAATACTAAGTGGTGTGTCAGGACAAATGCCCGGGTCTTATAGCTCCAAGTCCAGTTCTCTGTCCATTATGCCTTAGTGCAGAGAAAGGAAACCATTTCCAGGGAACAAAGAATGGAAAGATGATCACAGAATGAAAAGAGAGAAGCTAAGTCAAATGGAATCAAGCTATACGAGAGCGTGTGTGTGCCGTGCTCGTGTTGGCTGGGGGCGGGGGCACTTAACAGCTTTCAGCCAAAATGTTCTAAGATGAATGGGAAATGCCAAAACACGGTTAGGTTTGCATATGTGGATTTCACCTTAATTGTAGCTTTCCGTTATCAAAGATAGATAGTTATAAAATACCATGCAGAACAGGGAGATGGCAATTCATTTTGAAAACGCATTGCTTGTCCCAGGGAAGCACTTTCCACTATCTAAATCAGCCTGTGAGTTATGGCCGCAGAGAGGAACATGTCCTGTGTTGGCCCAGACTACCAGGTGCACGTGGCATCCAGGTCTGTGCTCTCAGAATGGCTTTGGAAACTGTGTGCCGCCTCCCCTCTGTACTGGGCTGCAGTTTGCCCAGTGTGGATAAGGTAGCAAATGCTGCAAATAGAGGCAATTTGCTTGGTAGAAAAAAACCCAGCTGTAAGGCAGAAAATGCCACTAACCATTATGTCTCCTACCCTCAATTTCTTTATCTGTAAAATGGACAGAATACCCACCAGCATGGAAGGACTGAAGAATACATGAAGAATTTTGAACCACTGATGCTGGGCTGTTGCCACAATGCCTCCGCTCCGGTGTCTCTGCTCCTGCTGCCCACTATCTGCCTCCTTTCATCCACAGGGGAGCTTTCACTTAAGTGCTAACAAAAGGGAACAAAGACACAAAGTGGGGCCTGAACAAAGGGGACAGTGGGGGAGGGTGGAATGTGGAGGTGGTGCCTGTCAAGATGCTTGGGATGATTTTGAGGATCTGGGGAAAGGATGCTACCAGCAAAAGTTGATAGAATGATTTCAGTTACAGGGTCCCGATGATAGAGTGGTAGGGGCCTGCTCCTCCACCTCTGCCTGGCTTCTAGTACCACCCTAGTCCTTCAAAGGCTGAAAACTTCAGGAACACTCAGTGTAGCAACTTCAGGTTAGATTGGCCTCCTATTGGGTAAGGTAAAAGGTATCAGGCTTTTCTGCCCTCCCGCCATCAGCATAGATGAGGGATCCTTGCGGTCCTGAATGCATGCCTGATGGCGGGCACCTGGAGTAGGGTGTGGGCCTAGGTAGATGGGATTCACCTGCGCTAAGACTGTGCTTTTAAGGGCGGCATCATGGGGACGCCAGAAGCCGAGAAGCAGTAGAAGCCGAAAGAGAAGAAGCCTGAAGCAGAAGCAGAGAGCGCCAGAGAGCCCAGATAGAGTGAAGATTTGCTGGGGGCTGGGAGGACTGCCAGCCTCCCGGCCACCCAGCACCCTTGCCTGCCACGTACCCGCTGAACCCCAATAAAAACCTGCAAAACCACTGAGGACTGACTCCTCCTTTACCCCGTCTGCTGGATCAGAAAACCTGCACCTTGTCCAGTTCCTACCCTTACACCTCCCTAGTGATGGCTGGAGGGGAGCATGAAGCTTCTTCAAGAAGCTTACTGGCTGGCAGTTTATGTAGATGGCAGAACAGTTTTGCTAATTTGTTTGAGGTGTCTCTGCAGGGGGTGGGGAGGGGGAGAGAGAGAGAGAGAATGTATGTATGTAAGGGCAGGAATGGACACAGTGCAGGTTTTCTGATCCCGTGCAGACCGGGTAAAGGAGGAGTCAGAGTCCTTAGTGGCTTTTTGCTGGTCTTTTTATTGGGATTTACCCGGTACACAGCAGGTAAGGGTGCCGGGAGGCTGGCAGGCCTCCCAACCCCCAACAAATCTTCATTCTATCTGGGCTCTCCGGCCTTCTCTCAGCTTCTCTTTTGGCTTCTGCTGCTGCTTTCTCGGCTTCTACTGGCGTCCCCGTGATGCCGCCCTTAAAAGTCCTGTCTCAGCCCAGTGAATCCCATCTACCTGTGCCCACACCCTACTCCAGGTGCCCGCCATCAGGCATGCATTCAGGACTGCAAGGATCCATCATCTATCCTGATGGCGAGAGGGCAGAAAAGCCTGACATTTTTCCTTACCCTACAGTGTGTGTGT